CAGGGGTGTCCAAGTAGATATAACTGCAGACAGGAGATCTCCAAAATGGGCCGTGAACTCCAAAAGTGGGCAGAACCTCCAAAATGGGGCAGGGTCTCCTCGTGCAAAGACTTTCACCATTGGCTCTGGCTCCGGCCAATTGTTATTGACTTACATTTCAAAATAAAACTTTATAAATTAAACATTGTTTCTAGTTCATCTAAAATAAAATATGGTATCTAAGTAAATATTCTCCATGAGAGCAGAGCCCAAAGCTCGTGGCCAGTGGTGTTCGGACTGGAGTTTGAACATCTGCTTAATGATATAAACGGGAATCACCCACGAGCTCTCCCGCGAGCCGTCCCAGCGCAGCGCAGGGGAAAGATTTCACTCTATCGTTTTGTTTTAAGCAACGGGGGTGTCCCGGGGCTCGAAATTCTCAGGGTAGGAGGGGGTAGTGACGCTGGGTGTAACTAAAAAGGTGCCATTGTCCGGTGAGGTCCGGTTGGGGAGTTACAAAACAATCTCATATCGCATAACCTTATTAACTGTTTATCTCCTGAACTGCATCTTTCTTTGCCACGCTATTCAACGCCAATCCCACAGTGCAGTCAATTTCACTGGTTAAGGTTAGGGTCAGGTGTGGGGTAGGTTTAAGGGTTAGCATTTTTGTAGCATAGTGTAGGAAATCAACACTTTAATTGACACAACCAATAAAATCTTTAGAATCAGCTGTGGGGCGGAGTTTGCACTGAAATGGATTGGGGGGGGAAAATTGCGCATGCGTGTCATGTGCCTGTCTGTCAATGGGAGGAAGCACGCCCTATTTTGGAGTTCCAGCCCCCATTTGGAGATCTCCAGGCTGCAGTTATATCCTTCTCGGGGTGTCCAATCCTGTTTCTGCACTGTAAAAAAAATTCCGTAAAATTTACGGTAAAGAAACGGCAGCTGTGGTTGCCGGAATTTTAACATAAAAAATACGGTAGCAACGTTTTAGGTTTTACGGTTTTAACTTAAATTTACAGTTAAATACCACAATTTCATTAATTGATATAATGTTAATATACCAACCTATTGAAGTACTGAAATCTGTTTTGTACCTGTAGCGAATCAGCTCATGGGGAAATATGAATAATTAATCATAACTAGTTATAATTAATTATAAATATTTAGATCCGCTGTAGATACTTACTTGACCTCTCAGGGTCAACAGTCTGTCAATTCTAAGAACATTAATTTCCAGATGTATTGTCTCTGGCCAGCTCGTTGGGGTCTGTGGGGTCACACGGTGTGTGTGTCTGCAGTGATCCTCTGGAAGGGTCCCTTCCCCACCCCCCCCACCCCTGTGGCTGCTGGCTGGTGACATGTAAACAGTGGGCTCTCGCCCCCCCCTCGCTGGTTCGGACTCTTGGCTGAGGGGGTCTGGCCCTGCTTGC